TTCACACTGCACGATTTTCAAACTCGTCGGATCGCCGTTGTTTTCACATCGGTGACAGGGGGTTTCACATTGCATGACTTCACAATAGGAAGAATCGCCAACAGCTCTGTCTGGTGCAGGGTTGCCAGGTTTTCGCTACAAAACCCTCCCAATTACTACTCAAAACTAGCCTGAAAATAGCCCAATTGCTTTCGAGGGGGTCCCCCAGTAAAAAAATTGCATTTTGGGGGGGGGTAAAATACAGTACAGGGGGCGGGGTCGCTTCAACCTGCAGACATAAAAAACAACCGGCGGGAATCGTGGATTTGGCAACACTGGTCCGCAAACTACGTTTAATTTAACTCCTCCCCGAACTTCCCACTGCCCTGTATCTTGGTTTCTCATTGGCTTTAGGTCATCGCCGATGTGTTTTTCAGTCAGAACTCATTTCACACAGCGTGATTGTGAATCGCCGACAGCTCCAGATATTTAGCATGCCAAATATTTCACGGGCGTCGGCGAGGTGCCGGCGATTCCCTCAGATCGCGTCTTTGATAATTCACACTGCGTGATTGTCACTCACGTGAACGAGCACCGGTTTGCCTCCGATTTCGGGCATTTGTCAGCGATTTTGTAAAACCTGTCGGCGAGTGAAAAATCGGGGCTAAAATCGTGCAGTGTGAACTCGGCATAAGCTATATCACCAAATCACACACAGAGTGCACGCACATTGATTTAGTCTATTAAAACTCAAAATTCCAGGCTTTCTAAATTGTAGACGGCAAAAATGCTTCTGTATGCTTTTTATATTTATATAATTTAATATAGTTAACTTAATCTATATCACACAAAGAGTACCATTTTTCTACAGATATCAGCATTTTAGACATAATATTGCTTGTTTTTGCTCAATTTTGCTAACGAATATAGTTCCAAACAAAGATCACAGCACTGTTTTCCCCCTGAGCAAAGGAAGGTGTTTACTTATTGAATTAATCAGCTTTTTGAACGAATCGGTTGAATAAATGATTCAGTGATTCACTCATTAACACAGTCAAATGCTTTGTTTCTGAATGAATCAGTCGTTTGAATGAATCGGTTGAATCTCAATGACTCACTCATTAACAGTCACTTGCTGTCACCTACTAGAGGTTTTAATTTCGCATTTCGACTATTTTTTTTATGTTTTAAAATAATTTCAAATATCAGTATTCAACGTTTTATGTTAAAAACAAAACATTATTTATGCATCTGTAACTGCAGGATAAATGCATCCATGTCCCCTCTGAGATACATTAAACTGTGTGAATACATCTAAATTCTATTTTAGATGCAGATTCCAGAAATGTTTTCTTATGTTGGAATGAAAGACACTAAGTTCCGGATGAAGTGCTTCTTATTCTTACCCAAAAATACAAAATGGAAGAAAGAGTTAAAACTGAACACAATATTGCTACTCAAGCTGGGCATGAACATTTTATATATATTATTTATTTCCACGGCTTCTTTTCCATTTTCCATTTTCTTGTACTTTTACTTTCAATACTTAAATACGTTTAAGATTTATAAAATACTTTTCGTACATAAGTACAATAAACATCACATACTTTAAGACTTTTACTCATGTAATTTTCTAAACAGTGACTTCAACTTCTACCAAAATCATTTTCTGGTACAATATCTGTACTTTTACTTGAGTATGGCTTTCAGGTACTTGATACACCACTGCCATTCAGTTGCTGGTCCCCATTGACTTCCATAGTACTGTGGAATTCAATGGCTACCAGCAGGGGGGGGGGGGGGGGGTCAATTTTATAGATAAATCTATCATTGATAATGGCCTTCAGTCATAAAAAAAGATGCCATTAAACAAATATTAAAAAATATATGTCTTTATGTTTTTTTTACATTAATTTAAAGATTTAATGTGAAATTATTGCAATATAAAAGCATATTTAAAAACTTTAGTGTTAGCTGGGATTAATCACGATTAATTTCAGAAAAATGTGCGATTAATTAGTTATTTTTTTTAATCGATTGACAGCACTATGAAATCTGAACACACTACATTTGTCTTGTTGTCATTGTCATGTGACCCACCAGCATAATTTGCATCACTTCCCTGTCTTTCGCATATATATATATATATATATACAGTGGGGCAAAAAAGTATTTAGTCAGTATATTTTTTTCTCCCACTCTATATATATATATATATATATATATATATATATATATATATATATATATATATATACTGTAGATAGATAGATATAGACATATTTGAAATTCAGCCCATCTTTATGGGTGAATCACTGAATCATTCACTGAAACAAATCTCGGTTTTTATAAGTAAATCATTGATAACTGAATTGCTCAAAAACACTGATTCAGGAACAAATTTAGGAACACTTCTGCTGTGAGTTACAGTCTTTGGCTTTATTTGGAACTATTTCTGCTTACGATGGAAAAAGTGACTGGAAATATTGTGTCTTAAATATAAGTTACTCCGTATTAACTTCTTGTTTATTGAACTCTTGTATAAAAGCAAGATTACAATTACAATCTTGCTGTTTGTCTGAATAAAAGCATTCTTGTTTGAAACTGCTTAATGAACACGTGAGGGGTATTCTACAAACATTCAATTACCTTTTGTCAAGTCAGTGTGTAACTAAGATCAGACTCAACAAAAAGAGATCAACAAAAGCCACTGGCACACAGGAATGGTATTGCACACTTCGGCCATGTCACACCAACAGTCACACCATGCTTTCTTTATATGTGACTCTATCAGCACATAAGTATCTCTGGCCCAGTTCCTTCTTGCCCTAAGACTTGATAACTTTAATAGAGCCTCTGTGAATTGTCATAAAGCACAAATTCAAATGTAAACACAGCTCATTGTGAGTGGAAAAGAGAGCAAAAAATGATTTGTCACGATGCCCTGTGGTCGTGCCCAAGTTGTTTGTGGTAATGCCTGACTAGCTAACAAAATAGCAATGGTGCCGTGAGGTTGATGTATCACAGAATATGGGATATTGCATACATATTATTGTATTCCATAGCTCTGAAGAAGTGATTGACCTGTATTTGGATGACTAGACTGTATAAAAGACCCCAAAAATGAGACAGTGGTTTTCTTTGGCTTTGAAAATTTGAAAGTCTTCCCAGAAATAGTTTGACGAATTGAATTAGTATTTTCTTGTTATTCTCTCTCTCCATTTTAAGTATTAATAGTATAAAGACCCAAAGAAAGGAGGTTTGGGGGAGGGTTTATGTTCCACTTGAAATGAATCTGATGTAATGTGCTTGGAATTTGGTTAAGGCTATATTAAAGCTTTGTGTTACTGTGTGGAAGAAAAAGAACAGTTGGAATTGGAACGCATATCTGTATGTGTTGCATGCACCAGAAGTTTAAACAATATTCATTACAGTAGTGCTCTGGACAATAATCTATATTTTACAAAAGAGGCAAATAAGATTAATTTTTTTTCTGAACAACGCAAAGCATATAAAATAATATACACATAAGAAACCATAATAATCTACTAAAAAAGTTTAGAGATTTCAATAGACAATGAAGTGAAATGAAAATTATGCAACCATTATAGTTGTTCCAAATAAGTATGACTTTCTTTTTTCCGAGGAACACAAAATAATATATATTTTTAATGAATTAGGAATGAAGACTTTGCAAATACACATTGACAGATATCTCCAAAACATATACATGACTACATAACATTGAGAAGAATCTCCTCTAGAGGGGAAAAATATATATTTTTCACCAATTGTAATGTACTTTTGATTACATTTCTGTATCTACTTATTACTTTCCCTCTCTTAGGTAAATTTTTAATTCACACTCTGTAGATCTCTGGAGATTTGCGTCATCACTAACTCACATGTAAAACAAGTTCCAACAACCGCAGCAGCACTGAGTCCCTGAACATCAGAATCTGAGCTCATTTGGTGCCAAGAATATTTACGTTTTTTATGGCCATTAGATCACTGTCAGATATATGAGAAAATGAATTCTAAACACTTCTCAAATTTCTGAAAAAAAAACAAGAAATGTGCAAGATAGATGATAAAGTGCCGCATGTATTTTACAGTAATAACAGTGGAGATGAAGGATGAAGCAGGTGTCTCAGCTCAGTGGTGGTTGGCAGGACTATTTGATGCTGATGCAGGCAGTCTAGCTGTCTTGCTGAGTAATGTATGAAATAGAGGGAAACCTTGTTAGGCACAGACAGTGAAGAACACCAAAAACAGGGAGCAAGAGATGGCAAAAGAGAAAAGGTTTAGAGTGACTGACATTTCCAGGCAGATCTTTTCTCACCAAAGTGATTTACAATAATGCAAGGTCGGCAGGCAGTAAATACAGAACTGTTTATAGCTCTCTGTCCGTAGTCAGTATCCACTGGCAGCAGCGTAGACAACGACCACTCAGGCTCCGTGACCTTGGTTTTGAATCTTTAAGAGAGGGCGTCATTCTCCCCCTTTCCACTGTGGCAAGAGAACAAGATGATTGGGTCTTTATCACAGCAGTAAGACATAATCAGGAAATCTCATTTCAGCTTCATTATCATTTATCACAATACAACTTTGGCATTAATGAAGTCCCTGAATATGCAGATTAAATCCCACCCTTTATATCCAAACTGATATGGTTTTCATTAAAGGGACAGTTCACTCAATAATGAAAATTCTGTTATCATTTACTCACACTCATGTCGTTCCAAACCTCTATGACTTTTACAATAGGGTAAAACTACTCCTTTAATAGTTTCAGGCACTGATCATATCAACTGGATACACACAACAATATGCAATATGACAAGTTGCCTACTACTGCTGTTTTATATATACATATAAAAGATGCACAGTAAATTAGTTTCAGACTTGGAATCAGATTCAGACAGAATAACTCGCATCGGTTGGTCTGTGTGTTTGTGTCCCCTCTCTCCTCCCTCCTCCCTCTGGCCTCCATGTGACAAGAGAAACGGTTCTGCCCAATACGATTCGCATGGATCGAGTTACTGGCTCTCTCGCATTGCGAGGCTGCTACTCAGTTCACTCACTCAACTGTCTCTGCCGGGCGGGTGGCGCACTCCGCTTCTCACATCCATTCAGCTCGATTCCGCATCGTTGTCCGAAGATGACCGTGACTATTGCGGGGCCATCCACGAGCCTAACCTCCACCAACCGCGGAGAGTAGAACCGGAGCCGAGGAGAGAGAGAGTGAGAGAGTGAGAGAGAGAGTAACCCACCTCTCTCTTGTCTCTCCCCATCATCTGCCTCAATCCTCTTGGTAAACCGACAGCTGAAGACGCAACGATTTCTGCTGAAATCTAGCTCTCAAAAAACACTCTCACACACGTCTCGTCGGGATATTGTGGAAGTAATTTCACAGAAGGATATTCACTGAGGATGGATAATATAAACGTGGAGTCGGTGGAGAAGGAGTGCGGCGCGCTTGGTGGATTATTCCAGGCGATTGTCAATGATATGAAGGTGAGAGGTTTGACACGATCGCTACACATGTAACACATGTAGCCGTACATTCTTCACGAGCGTGACCAGCATGCAGATGGTGAAGCTCTCAAACCTCTTATCACTAAAGTGGCTTTGAGCAAATAACCATAATGCAATAGCTATACAATCGCCTATTCATGGTTGACCTAAATGACAGGGGGAGCGCTATATGACATTCACTATCCTCCCTGATTATGATAGATAGATAGATAGATAGATGCATGCATACCTACATACGTACATAGAGGCCTATTAGGTTATAGGCTACATTAGATTATGAAGGCAACTCGATACGGTTCGCCCTAATGCCGGTGCGGCTGAATACACTGTATCCACACGAGAATGTTGTGCATGGAAATGGAGGGGGTTTCACACACACAATGGGAAACAGACTGAGCTGCTGCTGATTAAGCAGATGCGGCCGCGCGCCGTTCAGTGTCACACACCGTGAGATTTGTTGCAGCGTTCCGTCATATCATTGGGTCTATGAGCGTAGAAGAGCGGCCGCGCTCGCATGAAAACACCGTATTGATCTTCTGTCGGGTTTAATATTTTAACCACATGGTGAAAAGGACGCACATTCGTTTTGAGTGTTGACCGGGTTTCGGGACTCGTTTCCATGCATTACTGACGCTCTGGCAATAACATTCAGCCAGCGAAATCCAATAGCGTCCAGATATCTTGTCTCTCTTGAGAAGCCCTGAAGCTGTGTGTTACTATCACGGTCTTTTTACTGTATTGACAAAAAGACGTGATTTTCTTAAGGTCTAACAGCTCTGAGCAGCTCTGCATCTGTTCTCTCTGCTCTGCTTACAAAGATATTCTCTTCTCATTCAATATTTAACTCTTGCTTCTCCAGCACACTCGTGGTCCAATTTGCTTCCATGCTGTTACTGTAAATGGGGATTGCGAAATATGGATCATGACATGCATGAGATAGATAGATAGATAGATAGATAGATAGATAGATGCATGCATACCTACATACGTACATAGAGGCCTATTAGGTTATAGGCTACATTAGATTATGAAGGCAACTCGATACGGTTCGCCCTAATGCCGGTGCGGCTGAATACACTGTATCCACACGAGAATGTTGTGCATGGAAATGGAGGGGGTTTCACACACACAATGGGAAACAGACTGAGCTGCTGCTGATTAAGCAGATGCGGCCGCGCGCCGTTCAGTGTCACACACCGTGAGATTTGTTGCAGCGTTCCGTCATATCATTGGGTCTATGAGCGTAGAAGAGCGGCCGCGCTCGCATGAAAACACCGTATTGATCTTCTGTCGGGTTTAATATTTTAACCACATGGTGAAAAGGACGCACATTCGTTTTGAGTGTTGACCGGGTTTCGGGACTCGTTTCCATGCATTACTGACGCTCTGGCAATAACATTCAGCCAGCGAAATCCAATAGCGTCCAGATATCTTGTCTCTCTTGAGAAGCCCTGAAGCTGTGTGTTACTATCACGGTCTTTTTACTGTATTGACAAAAAGACGTGATTTTCTTAAGGTCTAACAGCTCTGAGCAGCATCTGCATCTGTTCTCTCTGCTCTGCTTACAAAGATATTCTCTTCTCATTCAATATTTAACTCTTGCTTCTCCAGCACACTCGTGGTCCAATTTGCTTCCATGCTGTTACTGTAAATGGGGATTGCGAAATATGGGTCATGACATGCATGTCTGTTGAATGATATTGAGCAGACAGTGGCATTGGCACATGGTGTCTGGCGCAGTTCAGTCATGAATGAGATGCACTGTCTGAGAGACCTAGATCCAGGCTTCAGCTTTAAGATGTGGGTTGATTCAGGTGCTGCGCTGTTCTTGGTCTCGCTCAAGCTCACTCTGTGCAGACATTCGGGTTGCCCTCGCCATCCTCTGATGTTGCTGTACTGAGATGGGAAAAGCAGGAACACAGCTGAGGACTGTAAAGAGAGTTAAGTTCAACAATTTTATGATGATTACGCAAAGAAAGTGCTGGCAATTCATTCAGTAAAGAATCTAAAAATGAAGTTACTGTTCAAGAGCCAAGATTTTAAAATCTACCACTGTCTTCTCTCTGCTTCTGCCTTTGCATGTCTTTGTTTGTGGGATGTGGGTAGCCTGTGGGTATTGCCAGCTCACTTGTCATATGTGTCTCATCACCAGAATGTCAGTTGGATCTTCTTTGTTCCTTCTCTGAGATCCCAACAGTACTGGAATAAACAAGGAGCCCAAATTTCTCAACAGAATCAATAAAGTATAGATTCAGCTTACTGTTCTTCTAGCGCTCTTCATCACTCAGCAGATCTGAAGAATGCTGTTTGGAAACTAGCCTGTTGGAAAAAAACATTGAACTGTATGTGAATGATTACTTGTTTCTTGCCAAATAGGAACAGGAAGGAATAATATGCCATATATGACTCTGTTTAACTCCACAGGGGAATGTGAACATCATTTAGATTTTTAAATCAACGTATGTTTGCTATATGTGTGTTTTTGTGTCTGGGTCTTAGGAGGGCATTGTTGTAAAAGGGTTGTTATGAGTATGGCTCTGGACCATGGAGGGGGGAGGATGATCGGATTTGAAGGGAGGGGGAAGGAGAAGTGAGATGGAAATGACTGAGGAGTGGGGCGGGCTGTCATATTTAGGCCCACATTCTTACCCTCATTCTTTAGGTGAAAGGGCCCTAAGCAAGCGAGAAAGGGACACCAGCGTTAGACATGATGATGACACAAGCACACAGTTGTCTGTTTGCCAACTGGACCTGTTGTATATCACTGCTGTTTACATTCGCATGCCTCACACTGAGTTGTGCATACCAGCCTGTATAGAGCAGAGACGCTCATATAGACTCACACACTCGGTCTAGATCTCATTCTGCCTCGCTACTGAATCTGAGCTCTGCCTTTAGTAATCCTTTGAATGTTTGTCTGGAGATAGAACTGGGATCATGGCAGTAGCGAAACGAGATTTTTGAGCCTTGGCCCTCTCCCCCTACCCTCGTCGGGGTGGAAAACAGACCACCAGCCTAGTTTACAGAGTCTAATTCTAAAAGTCATCTTTGACAATTCCACCTTTGAAACTAGAGGCTATTCCAGCCTTAATGCGGTCATATACCGGACGAGAAGTGCAGTGCTGCGTCACACCATGTCTTTAATATTTGAATACATTGTTTTCTACACCACCGGGCTCCGTGCTTTGACCGCACTTTCTCATTCTGTTTGCTCTGTTCTTTTTTTAATCACCGAATTTCAAACTCATTGACACTACTTGCTCATTCTTGAAGTGAATGTTAGACTGTTTGGAGAGTAGATTAAAGGTTTTGGACTGCCATCTCGAACTGAACGTGACTCGTCCGGTGTGCTATAAGTTGCCCTAGAGTCACGCAATGCACAGTGGCGGCACTGCGCTTCTCGTCCAGTGTGCGACCCGCCTTTCAGAAATGCAACAAGAAAACAGCACAGCAAGAGTGACTGATCAAGTGAAAATCCTCATTACAAATGCATCATCACACAATCGGTCTGTGCACAAAATCAACATGTTAAATGTAAGCCAACACATCATGACAGCACTCACAGCAAAACAACTTAGCAACAGACACTTCATTACAAACAAGCAGTGTTTATATTAAATAATATTATTATTGGCACAGCGGCCCAGTAAATGTCCTCATTTACGTGATTTACGACTTCCATCGTGACATGAATAATAGCTAGTTTATCAGCGTATATATATTTTTTCGATAGAGATCCCACAGCGGGCGGAACTGGTCATAAAGTTAGTGATAACAAGGCCCGCCCATTTAGAGGAAAGATATGATTGGTCATTTTTTCCTGTCACTTAAAATTACGCTCCCATTGATTTACTATTGCTTGGCCCTCTGTAATTTCATAGCTGGACAACCAATCAGTTAATTTAGTTAATTTAACGCATTCACTGAATAGGCAGATTTGAAGAGTTTATTTCCACATAAATTGTATTTATTTTATTTAGATGATGATTGTGAAATTATGAATTGCTTAAGTAAAATAGGAAATTATGACTTTATATTAAAAATAATATTTAAAAGTTTGTCATTTAAAAAAATATTTTAAAATGGTAAATATTGTTTTTACAATAGTTTAGGCCCTCTCTGAGGGCCTAGAGGGCTCTGACGGTTCCCCACTGGATCATGGTATATAACAGTATTTCTTTGGCTTTGAGTGCTTTTGTGTTCCAAGGGTTGATTTTTATTAAAATTACATTGTAAGTAAGTGAGTAAGTAAGTAAATACAAAAAGATTTGATTTCAACCTTGTCTTTTAGTTATATTAATATCACATAAAAAAATCTTGACTCTGGCTTGACTGATCTAAAATATGAAAATCCTTCATAAAAAAATATGAATCATCATTTTGTATTATTGTCAGCAAAGGAAAGACCTAAAATGAATTATGACATATGATCTGTGCTTAAAAATATAAAGTTCTAAATATAAAGGTAAATGTTATACAGATCATACGTTGGGCCTTATTTCCAATCAAGCTATTATTCTGTCAGTATGAGAAAGTGTGAGAATTTTATGTATATATAATTTAATTTAAATATAAATTAATGTGTAATGTGTAATATATAATTTAATACAAATATAAATTAATGTGTGTATTTAAGATGCATAAAATGTTTGCTAGGAAATTAACTGATATTTTAATGTTAATGTTTAAAATGTCATTTCCACCACTGTCATTTCTACCACAGAAAACACAATATCATTTGAGATGTGGCAGAAATGGCAGTGCAGTGTGAATTTTCATTATTTACTTTCAAAAATAAAATAATCAGTGCTCCTGGGATGCATGTACAGTGGGTACGGAAAGTATTCAGACCCCCTTAAATTTTTCACTCTTTGTTATATTGCAGCCATTTGCTAAAATCAAGTTATTTTTTTTCCTCATTAATGTACACACAGCACCCCATATTGACAGAAAAACACAGAATTGTTGACATTTTTGCA